TGTGAGTTTGTTTCTCATGTTTAACTAATATCTGAAGGTGTGTGAGTTTGTTTCTCATGTTTAACTAATATCTGAAGGTGAGTGAGTGAGTGTGTTTCTCATGTTTAACTAAGATCTGAAGGTGAGTGAGTGAGTGTGTTTCTCATGTTTAACTAAGATCTGAAGGTGAGTGAGTGAGTGTGTTTCTCATGTTTAACTAATATCTGAAGGTGTGTGAGTGTGTTTCTAATGTTTAACTAAGATCTAAAGATGTGTGTGTGTGTGTTTCTCATGTTTAACTAAGATCTGAAGGTGTGTGTGTGTTTTTCTTATAGCAAAGCCACATTGAGCTATCTGCTGTGTCCAACAAGGGAAATCAAACCCCTGATTTTTCATAGACTTACCACTAACCCACCAGGGGACAAAATCTCAAGGTCTTTCTAGGAAAATGAATAATACAGAAATTCTTCCAAAACACTAAAGGCATAAAGCTAATCATCTTTTCACTGTATTGGACACACGTCCTAATTTAGAGTTTTGTACGACCATGAAGAAAGGGAATTTCCATTAAAACTTCCTAAAGTTTACCAGTTTCAAGTTTCTGATAAGTAAATAAGATTTTAAAACTTTTATTTTTGTTTTTTTTATTGTGTATCTAAAAAACAAAGCTGTCAATTGGGAGATTTGTTTAATTACATTAATTACAATTAATGAGTTATAGAAAGGATGTGAAGAAACAGGGTTCACACTGGACATCAATGAAAAGTTTCAAACACTTTTCCACGACCTACAATCTCAGTTTCAAGCACCCTTGCTCAAAGAAACTACCATGAAATAATTAAAAGACATTTACGTTCGGCAAGGATTACCTCTTGGAAATGTAATTTTTCTTCTTTATTTCATCAGCGCTCCTGGTGTATATGAATATGCAAACAATGATGTCATTTTAAATCAACGAAATTTCGTCAATTCAAGACTCAAAGCTATTCGAATAAAGAGCAATTATAAAAATCCATCAATTAGGTTATTACTTAACTGTTTTATTTTTTTAAGTGTTGTACAAAATTTGTTTTCTCAAATCTAATGGAGTGAAGCCATATAACAAAAAAAATGTTTACTTGTTCACAAATAAATATATTCTTGCCAATCTCATACTTGGTATGGATGTTTGTTTGTCAAATTTTGTACAAAACTACTCAAGGGTTATTTACAGTCTTTAGTTTTGAAGTGATAGACCAGACGGAAAGGCAACTAGTTAACACAACCCATCACCATCTCTTAAGCTACTCTTTCAACAATGAAAAGTGGAATGGACATTATTATTATAACTCCCCCATGGCTCAAAAAGCAAGCATATTTACTGGCAGGATTCAAACTTGTGACCCACAAATTGCAAGTCGAATGCCCTAACCACCAGGTCATGACACACCCACTTAGAATGGAGACTAATTTATTTATTTTTTTCTACGAATAAAACAAATGCTAAATTCACAAACAACAAACACTATGAAATAAAAATTATTTTACAACAAATAACACATTATTAACTTTATAAAATGTACAATTATTTTCCAAAAACTCCTTACCTGACATCTGGTTTCTTTTTTATTTAAGTTTGACTTTTCACAATTTTTGAGTTGACAAACAGAATCATTACTTCTTAGTTCTTGATCATTTCTCAACTTTTCTTTGCAGTAAGTTTTCTTCCTGTTAGAATCGTTTTCCAGTGACTTCAAACCAAATACTCTGATCTGCTATAATTAAAGAAAAACAAACATTTTTCGTGTTTATATTTGTCACGATAACTTACACTATTTTAAACGACTAATTCCCAAGTTATCTTATAATAAACACTGTCAGCTTAGCTGGTCCGGCTGTGAGACGAGTTTCTTATAATGACAGGTATGAGTGAGTAATAATTTAAACTAAGAAATTCCTTTTTTTTCCAAACACTTCTTTTACAAATGCTAATATGTTTTGTTTGTAAATTTCCATTATATAATCAGAAAATCATTTTTTTGATATATCTCCTTTACAAATTTCAAAATTTTTTATCTGCACACTCCGTTTATAAAGTTAAAAAATACTTTTTTGGTTCCTTTCCTTCACAAGCTTAGAAGTTCCTTTCTTTCATACATTTCCTTACAAACTTCAATATTATATTGTACATTTACTTTATAAAACATGCAGCATGGGCAACATTAAGTTCCTCATCAATTAGGCATTTATTGTTAGGTTTAAGCATTTGTTTGAATACAGTAAAATCTTCCTTAAAATAACCTGCATGTATATATATATACTGTCCGTCTGCGTAACTTGTAACACGATACCTGTTTTCCAGCTTTGTCGTCTGCAGTCAAATTATCTAGCTTTGTATCAATTTTAGGCTTGTTCTCTTTACACGCATCAAATAACTTGGGAAAATCTTTAGGGTCGAACTGTGGTTGAAACTGTTGTTTTTTCAGTCGTTTCTTTTGCACGATCTTCTTCAAACCTTCAATGTCGCTCTTGTTCTGCTGTGGCTTCTCTTTCTAAAGGTGTATAATCAGAATAATTTAGTACCATTCAATATGATAACAGAAAACAACAGAAGGTAAATGCCACAAATGATACGTTTTTCATTAGCATCAAGCATGTTCACATATTCAACATCTATCACTCGTTTCAACTCATATTTCAAAAAATTAAAAAACTTATTGTCAACTAAAGGGTTACCTTCAGAGGCCTTTTGTCTGTCTTTCCGTTATTCTGTCTTTTTATCCATTTCTTTGGGTCACTTTCTGCTACTTTTAAACTTGTTTCTTTTTTCATCCTTTTCTTCAAATCACATTCTTTTGGAGAAGGATTTCCTGTTACTTCCAAACTTATTTGTTGTTCTACCTTTTTCATTTCCTACAAGTACACACATTTACAGCTTTTATTTTTCTTAACATACAGCCAACTATCATATTAACAAAGTCATCATACAGCCAACAATCATATTATCGAAGTCATCATACAGCCAACTATCATATTATCGAAGTCATCATACAGCCAACTATCATATTATCAAAGTCATCGTACAGCCAACTATCATATTATCAAAGTCATCATACAGCCAACTATCATATTATCAAAGTCATCATACAGCCAACTATCATATTATTAAGAACACAATGAACTAACAATAGATTAAACTAACAATACAATAAACTAACAAAACAATGAACTAGCAATACAATGAATTAACAATAGATTAAACTAACAACACAATGAACTAGCAATACAATGAATTAACAATAGATTAAATTAACAACACAATGAACTAACAATAGATTAAACTAAGAACACAATGAACTAACAATAGATTAAACTAAGGACACAATGAACTAACAATAGATTAAACTAAGGACACAATGAACTTTCATTGTATTGTTAGTTTATTGTGTTGTTAATTTAATCTTTTGTTAGTTTATTGTGTTCTTAGTTTAATCTATTGTTAATTCATTGTATTGCTAGTTCATTGTGTTGTTAGTTTATTGTTAGTTTAATCTATTGTTAGTTCATTGTGTCCTTAGTTTAATCTATTGTTAGTTCATTGTGTTCTTAGTTTAATCTATTGTTAGTTTATTGTGTTGTTAATTTAATCTATTGTTAATTCATTGTATTGCTAGTTCATTGTGTTGTTAGTTTAATCTATTGTTAATTCATTGTATTGCTAGTTCATTGTGTTGTTAGTTTAATCTATTGTTACTGTTTAAATTTTACAAAATGTGGAGCGCTGCTTTAAATGAAAATTCTTTATCAAACTTTAAGCTTGAATTTAAGAAAAAAAAACTTGGAAAGTCATTGGACTATTAGAAATATTTGATATATTTTGTTTAGTCTTTTGTTAGTTTATTGTGTTGTTAGTTTAATCTATTGTTAATTCATTGTATTGCTAGTTCATTGTGTTGTTAGTTTATTGTATTGTTAGTTTAATCTATTGTTAGTTCATTGTGTCCTTAGTTTATTGTGTTGTTAGTTTAATCTATTGTTAAGAACTATTACTTTTGTTTTACCAACAATAATCAATCAGTCAAGTTCTTCATTTAGTTAGTTGTCTACTTTAAAGATGTGAATGATTAGTTTCAGAAAAAATAAACGTTAATACCAAATCAGTAAGTTAAGTTTAAAGTTACCATCATTACAAGCTAGTGTAAGCAACTAGACTTTTTTCTTTCAGCTAGTTAAATGTAACTGGTTTTTAAAAAGTAAACAAAAGCAGATATAAGATAAAGTTCTGTGCACTGCCACATGTTCAGCTTCTGTTACATGAAAAAATGCTATTGTAATGTAATATATTGTTATATAGCACATTTGTACATATACATTATAGTGTTACATAGCACACTTGTGCATATACAACATAGTGTTACATAACACAATTGTACCTGTACATTATAGTGTTACATAACACAATTGTACCTGTACATCATAGTGTTACATAGCACACTTGTACATATACATTATAGTGTTACATAGCACACTTGTACATATACATCATAGTGTTACATAACACAATTGTACCTGTACATTATAGTGTTACATAACACTTGTACCTGTACATATACATTATAGTGTTACATAGCACACTTGTACATATACATTATAGTGTTACATAGCACACTTGTACATCATAGTGTTACATAACACACTTGTACCTGTACATATACATTATAGTGTTACATAGCGCACCTGTACATATACATTACAGTGACATAGCACACTTGTACATATACATTATAGTGTTACATAACACTTGTACATCATAGTGTTACATAACACTTGTACATCATAGTGTTACATAACACTTGTACATC